CCCCCCCCCCCCCCCCCCCCCCCGGGGCTGGCTGACCCTCGGGCATTAACATTTTTTTTGCCTTGGTTGGCAAATTCCCGGGGTTGGGGACTCTTGAGCTGTCAAATCCCCCGGGGTGGGGACGAAAAAAGAGGGCTAATCCCCCGCCCTCCGTCAACACTGCAACATTTTTCATTGATCGCACAGTCGAATAATGCCCTTTTAATCATTCTAAAGTGCGATTTTTCGTTTCAATTAACGTCTTGCTTCCTTATAGTGCTAGGATTCTGATGAAGACTTCACGCCGCGACTGCATGCACCAGTTTAGGGTTTTAGTATTGATATAAAATTATTGACATTAAAATTAATAGGGCGCTGTAACGTTATATGTTATGAATAGTTTTATAAATTAATGTGAAAGGATGTTCTTCAAATAATAACAACAGAAATTTGATTCAATAACCAGAACACGTTGATTCACATCGATAGCTCCGATTTCGCCATGTAATTCTGGCTTGATAAGCAATGAAGAAATGTGTGCATAAAATCGAGAACATGCCTTTACAACCTCTTCAATTTATTCCTTTCCTTGACAGGTGAGCCAATCTGCTTTTTTTCCAGTAAAACCTTCCGTGTAGTTATATTCTGATAGGAAACTGCGTGCCCGGTCAAAAGCTCACTAATGGCCCCGGGGTTGGCAAATGCCCGGCCCCCGGGCAGTGCAAAATTTGCAAATGCCCTACCCCCGGGACTGACAAGGCGGGCAAATGCCCCGCAGTAGCCCGGAAGAGGGGGGGGCTGGGTGCAGCTGGAATTGACTGATGCATTGAGTAAACAATTCGTCTTCCAGAGAAGTGCCATGTCCTCTAGTGTCTTTGTGCAGTCTTAACATGCAGTCTTTTCTTATATCTTCATCCAGGTAGATGTCCGACTGATTAGGTTGAAAACGTTTGGATAGACTACAGATAACCGTTAAGGATAATGGCCATCAGATATAAATTCATAAATTCTTACTTGGCCTTTAAAACGTTTATCGGGCTCTCAAGTCTGTCATGGTACTTAGGTCTTTCGTATTTAATCAGGTTTAACCTAATATCCGGTTAAGACCTTAAGCCACGTACTGACAGAGTTCACAACGTATATTGACGAACAAATTCTGTAGCTCTCGTTTCAGTGATTAACAAATGTTGAACGGAACAATGTGTCATGCCATTATTTTATTTAATGAATGTTGAAATTTCCCATTCAACGAGTTAAACGTTAATAAAAATTGTTCAAGAAACGAAGTTGGGCTCTATTCAGTCTATTACGTTCAACAAGTTGTAACTCGGGTTGAACAACAGCATTGATCGCCCTTTGTTTAGCATCAAAAGTTGAACGATCTCAAACCTGGCTTGTGGACAACTCAAAAGACCACAATATGAACTGGGGGCGGCCTCCAAAAAATTTGGTCTAAAACTAGTGGGGGTCCGGGCCCCCCGGCCCCTCCCCTGGATCCGCCACTGCCGACAATAAGAATAACTATAGGAATATTTCCGCCCTGCCGATAATCTCTAACCCTCTTGAAAGACACGTTGTATTATCCTCCCTAGAACACCTGATTAACAACGGCCCTCTATACAGCAAGCAGTCCGCGTATCGTCTGGGCCACTCTTGTGAAACAGCCTTGTTAAGCCTCACACACAACTGGCTAAAAGCTATGGATAACAGTAAGCGTGTTGGGTCAGTATTTTTAGATCTAAGCAAAGCCTTTGACCTGATGGTATCTTGTTATCTGAGATCGCTAAATACCACGTCAGCCAACCAACCTTGAGATGGTTTAGGTCTTACTTATGAGATCGAACTCAGACCTGCGCCATCTCCAGGGTGTCCAGCGCCATGGATTCTCACAAAAATAGGAAAATAGGAAACTCAGGATTGAGAAAACAGGAAAAATAGGAAACTTTGTATTAAAAAATAGGAGAAAAATAGGAAAATCAATATTACCTTCGTCGACAAAGATAGCCTCCCTGCACCCCATCAAGGTTATAATAAAGGCTACGAGTCCTCAGCTTCTACATTCGCAGCATTTAGATCAACTTTCGCGAGTGATCAGTATTTAAACGTTTAGCTTATTGGCTCAGATAAGCTGTAACCAGAATGATACGCTTGATTACAGGTCAAGCGTGGTTCTATAATCAAAGGTTATCATATGCAAATTCCCTTCAAGTTAGGTGGCGGCAAATCTTGAAATTTTTTTTAAATAGAAATTTCTTACGATTGCGTTATTGAAGGATATCGAAGTAAGAATAAAACGTCCTATGGAAAGCTTTCGTTCCATTAATCAGTAATCGGTGGCAGAATGAGAATATGCTTGTTTGAATCAAAAGACCGCATAGTTTTACATGTAACTACGGAACCAGGCTTTCCACGGTGTACAGAAAATGACACTGATCTAGCTATTTGGTATCAGATTGTAAGTGTGTCATAGTAAAGTTCTAAGAAGATCATAACACTCTGCGTAGCTATGACTGCAAGACCGGTTTCGCAATCAAAATTTTAGATCTGCTTAGTTAACTCGATGAGATAAGCGCTGGTCTGCTGAGTGGGAGGCCGTAGGTTCAAATCCCGGCTGGACCAACACTCAGGGTCTTAAATTAACTGAGGAGAAAGTGCTGCCTTTGTAATAACATCTGCTACATCTACATCTGATAATAACATATCTACAATTTACAATTTACAATCCTTCGTCAGTTGCTTAGGAATAGTTGTTAACAAGGGCCCCGGGGGTGGTACTTTAGGAATTTCTGGGTGGGGATGTGCCGCTGGGACCCTGGAACCCTTAACCTATAACAGAGCTAGTTCAGCTGAATTTTGCTACCCTATACTAGAGTAAACTCCCCAAATCCCCCTATCTTAGAGTAGCTAATTCCCTTGTCTAGATAAAATCTTCAACCAACTGATCATTTTCCTGAAAAATGATACCCTATTCTAGACCCAAACACTCTGATTTATATACCCTATCCTAGAGTAAACTGCCTGAAAACCATACCCTTCACAGCGGCACATACCTATATAGCCCATATATGGCAGTGCCCCCCCGCCCCCCGGGACAAGGGCTCACCAAGAGAGCTACTGCCGTAAACTAAACTTGAGTCTGTTCTTTTCATGTAGCATCCAGAATCCAGCTAGTGATTGGTTTTTTAAACAAGAAGCTGATTGGATGATTTATCTGAACTGTTAGGTGAGAGGACATGATACTGTTTTCCGTTTCAAAGATGAACATAAAAGCGAGCAACATAAAATATAACATGTACAGATACTGAAATGCAGTTTCAGTGGGCTATGCACAATATTATTCAATAGTCATGAGAACTACATTGTATAACACTACATACAATACATGTAGGTGCACTAGAAAATAGTACAAAAAGTAACCACATAACAAATTTGTTAACAGAACTCAAAAAGGCAATAGAGGTCATGAAAAGAACAAATGTAACTATTAGTTTTGCTAATATTAGGACATTAAAGTCAACATACTGTGGGGGTGTGTTCGAGCAACTCGCTCGCTACACGACGAGGTACCAGGAATCTGATTTACATCTTGCTTTTATTCTTCTTAATCTTCTTACAACTTCTGCTTACTCTACTGCTACTCTACTTCTCCTACATCTCTATTAACTA